TCACTCAGCTGCTCTCAGCTCAGTGCAGACACTCAGGGATCAGAGTGGAAACACTGCTGACATGGCAGTGTCCTCACATGCAAGACAGCAGAACAACATCTGCAGTACACACAGCAGCAGGCCACACGATAAGAATTATGGACAGCGGGACAAAAATGTCTAGATTGTGCGTCTAATCTCCATCCACTCCAGCACCGCCACCACCCAACACACCTTATCCCCCTTGTTAGTAAGAGCTATACCAACACAGGGAATTTCCAACAAAGTCTTGGCCATTCAATTGATGTCAGACACTGAAGATTTATTTGAAGATGTGGCTGGATAATTGACACAGACATTTGTTGAGAAACACACACCGAGACTCTGCCCAAACCAACTCCGAGATTCTCTTCCCCTGTCCCTGACTAGACCATAATCAACACTATCCTACAATACACTGCAAGTCCTGTCCCTGGCAGGGTAACATTGTCCTTTTATTGTCTGAATAAGAGATGTTTTATGGGCATATCTAAGACACAGCTGTGGTTGAAGCCCAATCACAAAGAAACGGCCTGCCTTATCATTAGAAACAGCGCCCCCTTGCCTTGGAGAGAGGAGTGAGAGAAGTGGTAAAAGCTCAATTGATTAAAGTAAAACTAATAATTTCCTATCAATATTCCTCTTTTTACCATGTCAAATTAAATCAGAGTTGTGGCCATTGCCTCTAAGCTCCTTTCATTGTTATTGGTCTTTCTCTATTCTGGCCTTTCTTTTTAAGACCCTGACTTTTGGTGAGGCATTTTAAATTTGCTTTCACTTTTACATTAGCAACATGTGTGTTCACACTAACCGTGGGTGGTGGGGTACCAGATAACAAGGTGCAATTTAACAATACCTCAATTTATCATGAAACATTTTCTGTCAGTGCTAAGTCAGTAAATGAGCTGTAACTTGATCATATTTAAGGGTCAACCATAGACATTTGCATGTGCCCCCTGGGACCTGAGGCAAGGTCATTTCATTTGATACAGCAGAAGAAACTGTAAGAAAGCACGGAAATGCTATGATTCAAACATAACCAAAAGAACAGGTTGCCAGCCCATAACCAAAAAATGCATTTATCATCCTTTGTAAAAAAAGAACATCATCTCACTGACTCACTTTGCATCTAATTTGCCCTTCCAGAGGGAACTAATGTTTAACCCTGAAGACCAGAGGGCCCATGGGTGCATCCTCACCCAGAGACTCCCTCTAATCAGGCTCAATTACTGCGGATAGAAACGTTCAAAGTGCGACCACCTTTGAGAGAGCCTCTGTTTTCTTTCCCTCCCTCTCCCTTCTTTTTCTCCAGAGGACAATTTACTGAAAGCACTCCCTGGGCCAATGCACGAGGGCCGCTCTAACAAGGCCCCGATTAGGGCTGGATTTGCAGCTTGCTGAGTTAATGTCAGATTGGCATAAAGAGTCCACGTGGGACCTAATTTGTGCACCCTCCTCGCCTGTCAGAGATAATTGTTAAATGAAAGCGAAGGGTGTCCCAAATCCTGGCAGAGAGGGAGAATCAGAGAGGTCTTTAGTCAGAGCTCAAGGTCTCTCTACAGGGAAAAAGTGTTGGGATCCGCAAGAGAGATTCTGCTTCAACGAGCGTTTACTGGAAGTAACACTGGTTCCATAATGTGGCTGCTATAAACACATTTTTGGAGGTTTAGCCCCTCTTGTTCAGCACATGGTTCAGGGTGAGGATGTATAAATGTGTGAGAAAAGCAAGACAGGAATTTAACAGGAGACATTTGTTCAAGTATGTAACATCGGTACATCTTTACGATCCTTCTACTTTTTCACAATTCTAACTTATGATAAATATAATACACTCTTCACTTCACTCACTTATTATTATTTGACTGCTATATTTACTTTGCAAATTACAATTTTAAGATTAGATTTTTCTTTTTAAATAAATAGTTCTTACAAAACTTAACCCCAATACTGATAGAGGGGAAATATGCAGAGGAATCTTATAGACCTTATATGTAAAGGAGTATTGTAGTGCTACTTTATAACATGAATACTTCTTCCTGTACGGGAATTTACTTAGAGTTTTTTTGCCTGAGCTGCACTTGGCAAGAGGAATCTTCCTTTTTTCCAATGTCCAATACTCTCTGCATCAAACATTTAATTTCCCATACATGCTTCAACATGCAGCTATTCAGCAGGTCGGAGATGATAAATGCTGAACTAAGAGCAGCAGAAATCATCCTGTCCAAACGTGTCTCTGACCAGATCCTCTGAGTTTCTGACATGTGGCCCAGAGGCCTGAGAGAAACATGATGAGGACTTTTTTTTCACAAGGAGACGTCCAACCTGCACCGGCTCTCTTCATATCTGACGTTGCTGGTTACATGACCAGCTGAACAACATTTTTCATCCACATCATCAGAGTTATGGGTCTTGACCTATAAAAACAAAGCGTAACCTGCTCATGATGAAACGTAATGTGAAAGATGGCAAGCTCTGACATCAAAAGGCAAATCTGCAATGCTTTAAATTATTTAATATTTCTCAAGAATAAGACATTAATGAAAAAACTGCATAAGTATTTTTGAACATATAGCAGCAGCCAATGTCTTATCTATAGAGGAAATTGTGTTATTTTGTTTCAGCTCAAAAGTAAAATGTTTTAAGCTATTTTGGAGATTTCTGTTTCAAGTTATTAGAAAGGAGGCACCCAAAAATGTTCAGTAACTCCACTGAATGTATTCCACACTATGGTTACTGGTCACCTTTCAGACTGGAAAACATACATGATAAGCTCAATAATTTCTCAAGATACATTTGATCCCACAATGTATTTGTCATGTCACCCCTTTTAGAGCACATTGTCAAGTGTCAGTATATCTATGGTCAGCAGTCCATGAGTTGAGCGGTGATTTCCCACTTAACTCCTCCCTGATTCATTTGAATTACTTTTCATCCTATGCAATATTTCATTTAAAAAATATATTTGATAAATGGACAAATTATAATACAAACTTGTAGACAACACCATTCAACTGTATATAGAGTAGTTAAAACTTGCTCTACCTTGAGCAGCAACAACAGAAAATAATAATGCACCACAAAAATGTCCTACAATAAAATATATAAGACACAGGGGACACTTTTACTGCAAAATGACTTCCAAGCCTCAAGTTGCGCACAGTGCGTGGCCCAAGTCCCTTAGTGCTTAAACATTACATTACATGTCGCTTGTTAGACGCTTTTATCCAAAGCGACTTACATACTCAATACTGTGGGCAATCCCCACAGGAGCAATTTGGGGTGAAGTGTCTTGCCCAGGGACACAACGACATGCTGACTGCAGTGGGGTTTGAACCTGTGTCCCCCTGATCCAAACACCAATGCACAACCCACTGCACCACACGCCTTAAAGTGTCAGAGACCCCAGGCACCTGGGAATAAAGGGCCCCGGGGACCCAAATACCCCCTTGGTACATGGAGTAAAGTGCTTGCTTTAAACCAGAGCCTTTCTGAGAGTTTAAGGTTCTGTGCGACTGAGCCATTGATCAGCATGCTACAATACGCTGTGAAGTGATGCAGTACTCACCAACTCATCCTGCATAACAGAAATGTTTTAGGTGTGCTGTATTATGGCAAGCTGTGGCAGGTAGCTGGACGTTAAATATTGTAATTTTTTTTTTTGATAAAGCAGAAAGATTGACTGTTTATTGATGTTTTTTTATTTTATTTAATTAGTTGTGATGAAGAGATTTGAACACCAGGGGGCAACAAACTCCACAAAGGGAGACCATAGCTGGAGGGAGCTGCTCTCTACACACACACACACACACACACACACACACACACACACACACACACACACACACACACACACACACACACACACACACACACACACACACACACACACACACACACACACACACACACACACACACACACACACACACACACACACACACACACACACACACACACACACACACACACACACACACACTCACACACAGTTATGTGCTAATACAGCACACTAATTATACAGAAGTCGGTCATTTAAAAAAAAAACACCGTTGAGTTTAGAATTTCAACTCTCAACATGACCAAATCAGACTGCAGCTTCATCCTCGTTATCATTCATGGAGAATCATCTAATCATTGCTGACACCATTTGCATTTAAAGCTTTAAGCTGCAGACCTAAAATCGCAGTTATTATTGATAAGATTGTAACAACAAAGAAAAGAAAGAGATAAGTGAAGCACAAAGTTGGCTTATTTAGCTAATTTACCTCTGGAAAGACATGCGTAAAAGACAGTGCTGCAACAATTGGCTCGGGCAATAATAAGCCATAAATGCATTAAATCTCAGCCTGAATTCACAAATGCAGTTCAGTAATGCTCCATCTACCCATCCGAAGAGAGAGATCATTCCACCATCGCTACACACCATCGCTACACACCCCCTCCTTCCGCCCCCTCCACTCACAGAAACGGAATTAAAAAATCTTTAATATCTTTCCAGCAACGAGCCTCCATTGCTGCAGCACACACATACACACACGGTGGGCCCTTTAAACACGAAGAAGGAGGAAAAACTAGCCTGCAGAATTAAGAGCATCTTCTCCACACTGACATTACTCATCATCCTACAAAAAGGAGGGGAGAGAGGCTGTAACCTGAATGTATTGAATGCATAGCGCCGCTGACATCGTGACAGCACCAGCTCTGTCTGTGGATCTGTGCAACTTGCTCTCCTGATTGTGTAATATCTTTTTTTTTCCTCCTCTGCTTCTTCCTGCAAGCGGCCAAAGCTGCATCTGAGAGGAGAGACAGAAGAAGAAGAAGAGGAAGAGGAGGAGGGGAACACAGGGGGGATCGGAACATTCATCCATATTTATTTTTCTTCCTATTACATGGCGCAAGGGCTATACAAACGGGACCGTCCTGGGTGTGATACTGCCACGGTGAATTTGGATACTCAGGCGGCAGCAGCGGCAGCAGCGGCAGCAGCGGCAGCAGCGGCAGCAGCGGCAGCAGCGGCAGTATCCTCTTCTCAACACGGAAGAAGCATCCTCAGCTGCAGCGGCGCCCACACCGACTCCTCGTCCTCCTTCTGCCGGCTCTATGTCGAGTGATGGTCGGCTTGCCTTGCTGGATGCTCCCCGCTCTCTCCGGATCGTCGACGACCGAACCTCCTCTGACCGCAGACCCCCATTTTCGGCGGAAACCTTCCCAGAGCTATAGGGCTACATATGGAAACTGGGGATCAAAATTTTAGGAAAAAGATAAATCTACGCGGTTATTTTTTTTAGGTTTTTATCGGTTTCTAGGTGGGGGTTTTTGTGTGTGTTTTTTTTAAAAGCCTGCTAATTAATTAATTAATTAATTTGTTGAGCCTTGATTTGCTCATTCCACCGTGTGAAGGGTTGTGAGAAGCGTGATATTTTCTTTGAACCCCACAATAGGTCGTTATAAAACACCCTGGGAATCGCTTTTATTTCCCCTCGACAGGACTTGAATCTGCCCATTTGTTTGCTCTCTTTTGTTTCCACTAATATGATAGATTTCCCTGCCGTCCTTCGTTTCCCTCCCCACTTTATTATCTCGTTGATTTACCCCCTTTTTGACGAACAAAACACATTAGAATAATAATATTATTACTAATTGTTAAGGTAGCTTTGGATTTAGTTGTACTTCTTAATTCTAAATGTTATAACCTCTGACTGTAACTCACTGTAACAGACATATTGAACTGTTGTACTGTAAATCTGCCATTACTCTAACCCCCTCCAACCATCTCTGTACTCTATTCGAGCTCATGTTAATTCAGCTCGGTGCTCAGCTGTAACCTTTTCAAGTACAGAAACAGGATTTTCTTTCTTTTCTTGTGCAGGCCTGCAGAGAATAAACCTCAGTTTGGTTTGTCTCACTTCCATTTTTAGGCTGGGCCAATATAAGCTTTAGGAGATAATTAATCCTTTAAAGCTCAGTGTTATTCTCCATACATCTGCAGCTGTAGGCCTGCTGAGGTGCTGTCATCCTCTGCATACCTACTTTTTTAATCTAATATAAGGTGTAAAAGTAAGAACAAATAGAGAGGAGAGACATCATTGCCTCTTCCTCTTCACCCCCCTAAACCTCCATCCTCCTCCGTTTTTCTCTTGTTTTGGTCCTCACCCAAACGCAACCATAAGGTTCCTACCGCATCCTCCTCCTCCTTCTTCCCTCTCCTTCCGCTCGAGTATATCCCGTTTTTTCGGTTTGGTTTGGTCCCGCAAATTTTCAAATATTTACTTCCTGTACATCAAGAGGAAAGGGGGTCCCCCTTTCATGGAATGCGGAAACATGGGTCTGTTCGACCGCGGAGTCCAGATGCTGCTGACCACGGTGGGAGCCTTCGCGGCCTTCAGCCTCATGACCATCGCGGTCGGCACGGACTACTGGCTGTACTCCCGCGGCGTCTGCAGGCCCAAGTCCATGAGCGAGAACGAGACCAGCAAAAAGAACGAGGAGGTGATGACCCACTCGGGTCTGTGGAGGACGTGCTGCTTGGAAGGTAAGAGGAAAGACTCTTTGCTGCTTCCTAAAAAACCTTCCCAACATGGTTCCACGTGTGGTTTTGAAGCTGTCTCTGACAGATCACAACACACATTTTTATTGCAGGATGTAAAGCTCTTCTGTGCCTGTTCCTCTAATGCCTCTTGGAGTTTAAAGGTCCCATGTCATGCTTTTCTGGTTATTACCCGTCCCCTTGTGTGTTATGTAGCCTTTTATGCATGTAAACGGTCTGCAGAGTCACAAACCCTCAAAGTACACCCTGTAGCGAGTAAAACTCTAACACAGAAAAGACCTGTCTATGCTGCCCCAGAACGCCTCGTTGGAGATTTCTCTTTTTCTTCCTGGGTACAGTGACGTATTTGGGTATTGTGACCTAACGTAACGTTACAGACCAATCCGCGGAGCCGTTACGTTACGTCCACGGAGCCGTTACGTTAAGTCCGTGGATTGGACCAATCCGCAGACTTCCTCATACACACACACTCAATCTTTTCTCAGCTGCAGCTGCTCGGGCTGGTTTCGGTCTGGTTTCGGGCTGGGTTTCGCTGTTTCGCAGACCTGGGCTCACAGGGAGGGGGGGGGCAGGAGCTCCAAAACAAGCCGTTTTAGGATTGGAGGGGTCAAAAGGTTAATAAGACAGCCTGAATTCACATATAAACAATATTAAAGGTGTTCAGCTCTTGTAGGCAGGGTGAAGTGGTTTTATGTTTTCATAAGGCATCTCAAAGGGTTGCGAGATCATTCCGAGTAGTGGCTACATTATTTTACCTATTGGAAAGAAAATAAATCATAAATCTGCTGCCAAAATGTTTTCAAAATGTCTTCTCTCTACATGTTTCTCTTTTTTCCATCAAAGTACTGAAGAGTGTTACATACAAATCTACTTTATGTTGAAGTGAAACATGCTGAGACACATGCTGTGCTTCTTTGTAAGGGGTGCACAAGACAAAAAAAAACTTGGATATCGACCATCAAAACTAAAACACTTAAATCCCGACTAATATAGCTCTGGGAGCGTGTTCAGCTCCTGCATGCAGGTGAAGCAGGTTTGTGGTTGCAGCCTGAAGCTGTTGCATAAAAGCCTCCCACACCACTCTGAAACAGTTCCTCTAGTCAGACACTAGATTTTAAATAATGAAATAATTCAGGAGCTGTAGTTAGGGAGGAAGCTTCATCATATATCAGCCTGATATATGGACAAACCAATACACTGGTCTAACCTTAATTAAGGGACGCTGCAGGGGTTCTGTCCAGTTAAAGAGGATGTGACAGAGCAGTTTGTGCAGGGTATTTTTTTACATAATGAAACCCCAGAAGTAAATTCATGGTAGCAGAGACCTGCCGGACAGCCTCAATGGTGGCTGTGCTCAACGCTGCTTGTCGTTTGACCTTTGACCTGAGATGTCAAACACGTCCTGAGAGCAGGTTTTGATACGACCTCCCACACCTAACACCTAAGACAGAGGCGGCGTGCTCCTTGTCCCAGTGGAGGCATTTGGGTGCTGACTGGGGAGTGTGGCACTGTAACCTTGTGAAGGCACAGAGCGTTACAAATCAGCTCATCTTCTTAGCAGTAAGATCCTCAAAAGCCTTCATGCTCCTCTGGCTCCTCTGATAAGAAGGAAGACTCTTTTACACATTCTGTTCAAAGATTGATAACTAGTTTGAAGTCTAGTTAAATCAATATTTTTACCATCATAATTTATAAAATTACACTGTGCAAAGACTTACTTTGGCTTTATGGAGCTTTGTGGTGAGCTTAAGCTTGTTGTTTATCAGTTTGACCCACAATTTACTGTTTTGATTCCCTCGCATCCCTCTTATTTGTGTCGTTGCATAGAAGCTTGCCACCATACAGTATGTGTGTTGATGGATGAGTGAGAAGCTCACTGTAACATGCTTTGGATCAAATATATTATCATCATTTACCAATTGCTTGAATGAGAAACAAATGTTTTTGGTATCTGGTATTTAATTTGTATTCACCTGAATTCCTGATCACAGCGTTTACACCTCTGCTGTTCCTGACACGTTTTTTTTAGTTTTACCAGAAAGAGTGAGTGTGTTTCTAAGTTTTGAGGTCTCACAAAGTGTTTCTTGTGTGGATATATAAAAGAGATAACGCTGCTCTACTGTTCTTACTGTGCCTACATTAATGCACATGGGATTAATCACAGCTGGAGTGTAATTGTGACACTGACTGGCCTTTATCCCTGCCAGGCCATTATTTAATTGGCAAACCAAACTGCATAGAGTCAAGTCGAGATCAAACCACCGCACTTTTGACACGTTGTGTGTGTGTGTGTGTGTGTGTATGTTGCTTTTGTATCGGCACAATGAGCCTCTCCCTTTGAATCAGAGATCAAAATGGCAGGAAATAAATCCAGATTATTCATTCTCGATTCATGAACGATCGCCGGCCCAGAAGAGGCAAGGGAGTGGAAATAAAGGGGGCAAGGGCATTTACTTAACAGGGTCAGATTCATTTAAATTCAAATTCAAATCACTTCCTTCTCAGGAAATTGGGTCTTAAAAAGTGAGAACTTTTAATTGTAGGTTTGTAAAAATAGAAAAATAGAAAACTACAGAGCAGATGCAGCTGCAGAGAGATAAGAAGCCTGCAAATCAAGACTATCAGAAGGAGTGAAGTTTAACATTTCAGATGTTAATAAGGCTCCGGTTTGCAGCTCGGCTCAATTAATTCAAAGTGCCAAGATGACTAGTATTCATCTTTCCCCCAGCTCTTCTTAAACCATGCATTACTGGGGATCAGGCAGCAACTGATAGCTAAAGTCGCAGCACAAAACACAGACTGTGTGTTTGGCAGCGCAAGCCCACACATCCTGCTCACAGAGTGGACACAGGTGGGCGATGGTTTGTGTTTGTATAACCAGCTACTGGAGAGGAGAACCTGTGAACAAGCAAAATGGGAATACCCACACTGGGTGCTTCAACACCTCGACCTCTGCTTCGCTCACTGCTTGTCAGAAAACACAATAATATCACTCCTGGAAAAAGAAAAGATTGTGTTTCTATTGCAACAGCTTAGGGTTGGGATTCAGAAGCAAAATATGTTTGTGTGTAATGCACTGAGTCAATCCTGCGAGAAATAGTATCTGGACTGATCCTGGTCATTTCTGGATCAGAAGCAAAAAATATGTGAATTTGCTAGACTCAGTCACTAATGATCACTGGCCAGAGAGAGACCAGTGAAGAAACATTTATGTAACAGTTTCTCCTTTTAGCAGGTGTTTTGTTAATGTTACTCTGCTGTTTTACCCTTTTATTTCACCAAAATGAGCACATACACAGCGTTGAAATTCTGTTGGTGGGACATTTGGAGATCTAGGAAGAATCAGTAGTTGCAGCTCAAGGTCACCTACATTTGTTTTCAATGTCCTGAAGTTTGAAACCAATAATTTAGTGTCCTAATATATTATATTTATGTGTGACAGCTTTGAATGTCAGTTGGAGGTCTACTTTTATTTGTTCTACGTTGGTTTACATCCACATTTTGTTATCAGTATCAGTTTTGTAAACTTGTTTGGGTCCACATTGTAGCTAGCCCGCAGTTGTTACTATTTTAATGGAATGTGCCTCGGCTGTTGATGTTGTAGACCAAGTGTGTGCAATTCAGTCTGACAGTATTTAAAGTTCAGTGATTGTGGTTCATAGAGAGATTTAGCCGTAAAAATGTGTGTTGTGTATGAATTGGGCCCTGGAGCCGCCGCTCACTCGTCCTCTCTGGGATGTCTGTAAGAACAGCCACTGTGCCCCCTTGTTCTCTTAGCCAGGTGTAGCGCTCTGCGTTTGCTGCTAATCTGAGGCATTCGTCTTCATTACAGCGCCGCCCTCAGGCTCCACTGTGGAGGAGACGGAGAGAGGCAAGGAGGTGTTGGGGAGGAATGGTGGACCCTGTGATGAAGGAGGGCCACCATGGTGTGATGTTTGCCTTTTATTACCTGTTATATAAAGTCTCTTAAGGTTCATCATTCAATGTGTTTGTTCCTCTTCCCTCGCAAAATCACCTCAACTACAATATGTGAAATGCAACGTACTTCATGTCCACTGTGATCATGATACCTATTTTCTAATAATATAGGATTGCAAGTTCTGATTCAATTCATTATCCATCTGCTGTTTACTTATATGTACTATTATACATCTAAATAATCTTTTCATCTTTAAAATATCTGAAAATGGTCTCCTACAGCCAAAATCCTTACGTCTCAAAACAGTCCAAAGTTTACCATCACATAAGACAAAGAAAAGCATAAAAATGTCCTATTCTAGAAGATATAAATGGCCAGTTTATGGCATTCATGCTTAAACAACATCACAGCTATGCTAACAGCTCTGTGAAGCCGTTCACTTTGAGCGCACGATATCAGTCGAAAGAAACAAATGCATTTGCATTTTTATCAATTTAGAGCATTTTCAATCAGCTAAACTGATGTTCAGACAATAAGATGAGACTGTTCAGACATATTTGAGTGATTCAGTACTCCAATATCTAGTAGAGAATTATGATCTCATGAATGTAGTGAATGTTGGAGCCACGGCGAGTTATTCCTTTACACAATCCAAACTGTTCTTCCCCCAACAACGATTATAGAAAAATTTGCTTTCCTTTTTTAAAATCTAAAATGGCTACCACATTTCAGTATGGCCTCCCACTGCTGCTGCCAATCACCACAGATCACAGTTCACACATACCGCCTCATGATTTTATGTATAAGCTCGTGGGAGTATCAATGTAGTGTACATTCATGCATGTAAAAACACATGTGGGAGTATGTTGTGTGTGTGCTTTTGTGTACTTTTACATGATGTTTGTGTATTGTGTAGAGCAGGATGAGAGGCAGGCCTGAGATAAAAGCAGATAGCAGAGCAGCGCGGAAGAGAAGAGCTGGATTAGTCTCATAGTCCAATCAGATAAGGATTACACCGCTGGAGTATGCCCACCCAGGCTAATGTCCCAGCCCCTAAAGTGGCATT